TAAGGTTGTTTTTGGTGTTTGGGTTGGTTTCTCACCAACTCGTGATGGTGCTAGTATATGATTGGGCGATTTTATTAGTGCCAACCTAGTTGCGATTGATTAGGTTCGCTATGATATTTTTTACACTCATTCTCCTCTTTCTTTTATTGATATAATAGTTTTCTATTTCATCAATAAAGTTCTTTTTCTTTGTTGATAAAACAAAAAAAATGCAGATTCGATCTTGTGTTTTTTGTCAAATTCGCAATTGGCTCGGTCGACGGTTCTGATATGAAATTGCATCAAAATATTAATTGTAAAAAAAAAACATAAAAATCCAAATCCAGTAGATATGTCTAGGGGTGTGCGCGGTGCGGGGCGGTGTGGTTTGAGGGGAAAATAGAAATCGTATGGCGGGTGGCGGATTGATAAAAGTGTCACTGAAATTTGCCATTTTTCTTATCAAAAACCGGCGGTTCGGTTGGCAAATAATGGCAGATTTGCCTTGGGGGTTCGGGCGGATTGGCAGTTTATAAAAAATATAATTCAAATTACAAAACTTAAATCAAAGAGTAAAAAAAAGACGAGAGATACCGTGATGTTAAGCATCTTGCGAAGCTTTCTTTTGATGTAACAAGTGTAGCAACAACATGATAATATCAATGACTATGCCATCAGTTCATTACAAGCATCTGCGGAAGCTACAATGATCAAATACAATACATAAAATTAATATCATTCGGGGTTTACAATATATTGAAAATGTTTACTGTTGAAAAGTATTTAGATTGAAAAGTGAGCTGATGCAAGTTTGCAACATGGCCACAAAAAAAAAAAAAAAGATTGAAAAGTGAATTGGAATCCAACTTTATTTTGGATTACTGACATCTTGAATTCCCCTCGAGCAGTAATGTGATATTATATTCTAAGGTATAGAACAACAAGCAAACTTAAGTAAAAAAAAAATTTAGAATCTTATAAAACATGATTTAATAGCGGTGCGAGTCACTGCGGTTTGGAAGAAAAATAGAAACCGGCGGATTGATAAAAGTGTCACTAGAATTTGCCATTTTTCTTACCAAAAACCGGCGGTTCGATTGGCAAATAATAACGAATTTGCCTTGGCGGTGCGGTTCGGTGCGATTTTGGCGGTTTCGGCGGTATTATGCACACCCCTAGATATGTCTATTATATCAATACAAGTAAAACATGTATGTACTGAGAAAGAAATTGTAGCAAAGTAGTGGTCAAGTAGAGATATTACCGTGAGCTAGTCTTCCTCGTTGGCATAGTGGCGGTGGTGGAGCGAGCTGGGTGGCAAAGGAAGGTGGTGGCGGAGTTGTGGCAGCGGTGGTAGACAATTGTTGTATATATATATGTGTGTGTGTGTGTTTGTGTGTTTAAAATCGTGTTTAATTGGGCTTGTAAGATGCAAATTGCAATCCATTTATACTTTTAGATTGATTTGAAGGAGTTTTAAATTAGTGTTATGGTTTCAAGTTTAGTTTATCACTTCTATTAAGGAGTAATTGGAACCTTGAATGCTTATTGTTTATTAGGCTAAGTTAGGGTTGTGTGGGGCTATATTTTCTGAATACCAACACGTGGCCAAAGTGATGCCGACGTGTCAGCCGAGGTGCCACATGTCCTGGTCGTGATGCCGAGGTGATCTCGGATAGGCCGAGGTTATCTCCGAAGATATCGGAGTTTGGGATAAGCGGATAAGGGACAAGAGTCCTAGAATGAGGAAGAACCTTAGCCTGGATAAGGATAAAGCTCTTAGGGAGTTTATCTTTATCTATTAGAGAGTCCAAGATAAATACTGAGCTAAAGTCCATTGAAGTTAGACTTCTATTGGGACTAGGATTGAGTTGGCAATAAAAGAGAGGCACTCCCAATGGGTCTAAGATACGCAATTTATATTCTGAATAGTGAGTTAAGCATTTTTGGTATCTTTGAGAGATAACTGACTTGATCGTTGGAGTGCCCCCGGGTGGACGAACCACCACCGGAACCTCTTCTTTCTGTTGCAGGTCGTTCAAGCTTAATCTATTCTGTCAGTGCTCTCCAACTAAGTACTAATTTAGTAGTGTGGTCAGAAATTGACACACACAATTTGGCGCCATCTGTGGAAAAGAAATGAGAATAGATGGCCAACGACGGACAGAAAGAGAAGGTTGGGGACGACACCCCTACTGAGAGTGGAAAACATATTGACCTTGACGTCGAAGAAGACAGTTGCAACGAAGAGACTCGTGATAAGAATCACGGAGGAAAGAACGTCGGCCAGGAGGGCGGCGTATCGAAGAAATCGAACTAGAGTGGGTATTATAACGAGGACGACCTCTAGGTATAGAAAGATAGATGCCTGCGGAGGGATGACGAGATGAAGGGAATGGCGAACAAATTGGCAGACCTGCAAATGGTCGTCAATTTCCTGATGCAGAACAACGTCATGCAGCCACCGTTCCCGCTACAAGATACGCCGATTCCAGCGGCCAAGAAAGGTGCCCAGAAAGGGGGGCAGAAAACGGTTCTTGCAATCCCTCAGCACGACAGGGCAAAGGGGCATTCTCACCGGCCTTCATGAGAGGTCGGGCATGGAGAATCAAATAGGGGTGGAGAATGATACTTTGGAGTTGGAATTTACAAGCTAAGGTTGGTTTAACACTTGTTGAAATTTTAAATTTACAAGTTGAAGTTAAACCGAAATCATGTTTGACGCTTGTTGGAATTTTAAATTTATAAGTTGAAGTTAAACCGAGTTCATGTTTAACACTTGTTGAAATTTTAAGAAAAATTTACAAGTTGAAGTTAAACACAGGTCATGTTTAACACTTGTTGAAATTTTAAAAATTTACAAGTTAAAGTTAAACCGAGGCCATGTTTAACACTTGTTGAAATTTTGAGAAAAATTTACAAGTTGAAGTTAAACCGAGGCCATGTTTAACACTTGTTGAAATTTTAAAAATTTACAAGTTGAAGTTAAACCGAGGACATGTTAAACACTTGATGAAATTTTAAGAAAAATTTACAAGTTGAAGTTAAACCGAGGTCATGTTTAACACTTGTTAAAATTTTAAGAAAAATTTACAAGCTGAAGTTAAACTAGGGTCATGATTAAAGGAAGGAATGATATAGGTTCCATCACCTCAGGATGCCGAGATAATAGAACCTAGGGGACAGTTGTGGGGACATAATTTTTGAATGACAACACGTAACCGAGGTGTCACCAAAGTGTCAGCTAAGGCGCCGCGTGTCCTGATCATAACGCTGAGATCATCTTGGCTAGGCCGAGGTTATCTACGAAGAAACCGAAATCCGGGATAAGTGAATAAGGAACAAGAGTCCTAAAATGAGAGAGGACTTCAATTTGGGTAAAGATAAGATTCTTAGAGAGTTTATCTCAATCCTACTGGGAGTCCAAGATTAGTAGTAATCCTAAGTCTATTGAAGCTATGCTTCTATTGGGACTAAGTTTGTGTTGGCTATAAAAGAGAGGCACCCTTATGGGTCTAAGGTATTCTTTTTGTATTATAAATAGTGAGTTAAGCCCTTTTGCTATCTTTGAGAGATAACTAACTTGATCGTCGGAGTGCCCCCAGGTGGACGAACCACCGCCGAAATCTCTTCTTTTTGTGACAGGTCGTTCGAGCTTAATATATTCTGCCGGTATTCTCCAGCTAAATGTTTGATTGGTAGTGTGGTCAGTAATCGACTCACACAGGTTGTAAACAAGGTTTTGACAAACGGTTGAAGTCACCGTAACGATTACGGTGACGTGGTAACAATTGTTGGGTGTAAAATCGTAGTGTAAACGGTTGCGAGAATCGAAACCATGATTTTTTTATATTTGTCGCACAATTTGAAGAAAACTTACCGATATGCATATTTTTTTATTTTTTTTTAGAATCACATTTATTGGGGTTTAAAATAAATTTTGATCAATTTTTGTTAATTTTTAAGTATGATCCAATATATTTCATATTTTCAAATCACTATATAAGGAGCTTTTTACATTTTATTTTAATAGCTAAAGATTGGGTGAATTACACTCACAATCCCTATAGTTTGGGACTTATGTCACTTTGATCCCTCACTTTTCAATTGTAACACATTTAATTCTGAATATTAAATCTTATTTCAAATAAAAACAATTGAAGATATCATTGTTCAATTTCAAGGACAAAGTCATCAATTTGATAAAATATAAACTAATTTGACAAAAATAAATATCAAAAAAATATTTTGAATTTTTAAAAATTATTTCTACCCACTAAAGATTTATTAATTTATCTTTAGTGGGTAAAAATTAATTTGGTAAAACAAATAAATGTCTAAAAGATTTATCAAATTTACATAATTTTATCTTTAGTAAATAGAAATAATTTTTAAAAATTCAAAAATATTTTTTTAACATTTATTTTTGTCAAATTAATGACTTTACCGTTAAAATTAAGTAATAATATCTTCAATTATTCTTTTATCTCCACAATTGCGCTAAACTGCTCCAACATTGAACAAGTTAGGTCCATGCCTAGAGTTGTTACATAATAATAATATTAAATTTAAAAAAAAAACTCTATTTTTATATATTTTGAATCATAAAATTTTAAAAAAAAAAAAACATTAAAAATATTATGAACGAAATATCCTTTTGAAAAATGTTAAAGATGCCAAATATTTTACCAATATTTCTAATAAATAGCTCACATAAATGTGGAACTCACGCATCTCATGTGAATCCTATATCCATATAACATATTTCATAAAAAAAATTTGGGTACATACATATTTACAACAATGATTCATCCCACTAAAATGCATTAAAAAAGTAAAAAAAAAAAAAAAAAACACAACTCCAAAACCAAAACAACACATCATTAATGACGAGACCCACTGCCACCTAATTAGTGGGAGCACTAATTTTCTACATATTTATTTTTTTGAGACAGGTGTCACCGCCCATACCAAAGTCCTCTATTTATAGCAGCATAACGTCTACAATGCCATCTGTAGTTGTCTTCATATCTCTTGAAATCAGGCCAACATGTTGGACTTCATCTCCTTTGCCATCTTCCTCATTATTATCTCCACCACCCTCCTCCTGCTCCTCTCCATCCACCACTTCCAAAAACCACCCCATGTCCGCCGCCGTCTCAACCTCCCACCAAGCCCATTCGCCTTGCCAATCGTCGGCCACCTCCACCTCCTCAGCCCCTTCCTCCACCGCTCCCTCCACGACCTCTCCTCCCTCTACGGCCCCTTGTTTCACCTCCGCCTCGGCTCGGTCCCATGCTTCGTAGTCTCCACTCCCGAGCTTGCAAAAAAGTTCCTCATGACACACGAGCTCAATTTCTCATCTCGCAAGCATTCCATCGCCATCGATCGCCTCACCTACGACTCTGCATTCGCCTTTGCGCCATACGGTCCGTATTGGAAATTCCTCAATAAGTTGTGCATGTCTGATCTTCTCGGCAATCGTAGTATCAATCATTCGCTTCCCGTTCGAACCAGAGAACTAAACGCCTTCCTTCAACTTGTCATGAAAAAAGCCAATGATTGTGAAGCTGTGAACCTCACTAAAGAGCTGTCAAAGTACACAAACACTATCATCTCTCAGATGATGATAGGTGTTACGGGTGAGGCTGAGGAAGCTCGAACTCTTGCCCGCGAGGTGACACAGATATTCGGAGAATTTAACGTGTCGGATTTCATTTGGGTTTTCAAGAACTTGGATTTGCAGGGGATTCGGAAGAGGGTTGAGGACATTCACTCAAGGTACGATGCATTGCTTGAAAGGATTATCACAAACCGGGAACATGAAAGAAAATCACCGAGTCTTGGAGATCGTCACGCCAAGAATTTTCTCGACATATTGCTTGATGTTTCAGAAGATGACAATTTGAATATCAAATGCACCAGAGATCAAATTAAGGGTTTGATTTTGGTAATTATATAATTATCACAAACTTTTGTACAATATATCAAAAAATCAAGGCATATATTAATTTACATTTTGTTTTATAGGATTTCTTCACGGCTGCTACAGATACATCAGCAATTGCACTTGAATGGGCATTAGCAGAGCTCATCAACAATCCAAGAGTGCTCCAAAAAGCACAAGAGGAGATCGATAACGTGGTTGGGAAACATCGGTTAGTAAGCGAATCAGACGGTCCAAATCTTCCATACATCCAAGCCATCATAAAGGAAACACTCCGGCTTCACCCTCCACTCCCCATGATCATAAGAAAATCAGTACAGGACTGCATGGTCTATGGATACAACATCCCTGCCAACTCTGTCCTATTTGTAAACATTTGGTCTATTGCAAGAAATCCCGAGTACTGGGAGAGCCCATTGGATTTCAAGCCCGAGCGGTTCTTGAGGCCCGAAAACGGTGGCCCAGTGGGCCTAATAGATGTTAAGGGCCAGCATTTTCAGCTGCTGCCCTTTGGTACTGGGAGGAGAGGCTGTCCTGGCAGTTCTTTGGCCATGCAAGAGCTGCCTGCAGTGCTGGGGGGAATGATACAGTGCTTCGAGTGGAAGGCAGTAAATCAGAGCGGGGTGAAGATGAATGGTGATGGAGTGGTTGACATGACTGAACAGCCCGGGATGACTGCTCCGAGGGCCCATGATCTCGTGTGCATGCCGATAGCACGAATCAATCAACTTTATACCCTTCTTAATAGGGCTGAGCAAGCAATTCGTGAAATCCGTAATCCGATCCAGTCCAGTCCAATCCAGTAGGTTTGGATTGATTTTTTGAATCCGTGGTTCGGTTCCGGATTGAAAAATTAAAAATCCGTAGTTCACGGATTGGTTCCGGATTGAATCCCACGGTTCCGGATTAGAACCGATCCGGACCGTATACAAATAGTCTATATTTTTATTATACACCCTCCTGAATAGTATCTTCTCTTATTTCATATAAAATTTAAATCCAAACCTAAACTTGCATAGTATCTTCTTTTATTACTTTTGTTTGCTAGTTTTTAGTGTTAATTTATAAAGGTCTAAATACTTATGGTAGAACTAGTTTCTTTATGATTGTTTAAATTCTAGAACAGTTTGTCGCTATTATGAAAAGACATATTGCTATTGTGAAACTAATATGATGCTATATTTATATTTTTATGAAAATAAAGTGTTATATATATATTTTTGTTATTTAATTATATAAATCCGTGGTCCTAAACCGATCCAATCCGTATTTAAATGGATTGGTTCGGATTGGTTCCACGATTTAAACAGATTGGATTGGTTCCAATTTTTCAAGATCTATAGATAACGGATTGGTTCTGGTTTTACTCCAATCTGGTCCAATCCGAACCATGCTCACCCCTAATCTCGTCGTCTCTCCGCAGGCATCTATCCTTCCATACCTGGAGGTCGTTCTCGTTGTAATACCCACTTCGGTCCGTTTTCTTGGGTTCATCGCTCTCCTGGCCGACGTCCTTTCCTTCGTGATTCTTATCACGAGTCTTTTCGTTGCAGTTGACTTCTTCGACGTCAGAGTCAATATGTTTCCCATTCTTAGTAGGGGTGTTGTCCCAAACTTCTCTTTCTGCCCGTCGTTGGCCATCTATTCTCCTTTCTTTCCCACAGACGACGCCAAATTGTGTTGGTGATTTTCCGACCACACTGCCAAACAGGTACCCAGCTGGAGAGCATCGACAGAATAGATTAAGCCCGAACGACCTGCAACAGAAAAAAGAGTTTCCGACGGTGGCTCGTCCACCCGGGGGCACTCCGACGATCAAGTCAGTACTCAATATATCTCAAAGATAACCAATAGTGCTTAACTCACTAGACAGAATATCAAAAGCATACCTTAGACCCATGTGGGTGCCTCCCTTTTATAGCCAACACAATCCTAGTCCCAATAGAAACCTAGCTCTAATAGACTTAGAATTACTGCTAATCTTGGACTCCCAGTAGAATTAGGATAAACTCTCTAAGAGTCTCATCTTTACCCAAACTGAAGTCTTCTCCCATTCTAAGACTCTTGTCCCTTATCCGCTTATCTAGGATTCCGGTATTCTCGCAGATAACCTCGGCCTAGCCAAGATTACCTCGGCATCATAACCAGAACACGTGGCACCTCGGCTGGCACTTCGGTGACACCACGGCCACGTGTTGTCATTCAAAAATTATGTCCCCACAACT